GGATAAAATCCATCTTTCATTTAATATTTATATATTGAATATAATTTTTTAAAATTCTGAGATTGATCTTTGAAGTGCAGAGCGACACAGGATGGCTAGCTCAGTTTGGCCGTAGTATGCTAACGCTAGGTTGACTATATTTTGATTTCCAAAAAAGAGGACACTCGGTCCAGTCATGAAGAACTTTAATAATACTGTTTGCTTCAAGAAAACATATTTAAACGATGCCTTCTTTGTGTGGTTAATGAATCGTGAAATAAAAAATGTCATATAGACTTTTACAAGTCAACAAGTACAAAAAAAAGAGGCCGGTTGGTCACTCTAACTAACACTTTACCATGCTTTAGCACATGCAATCCTACATGCGGCATGTTTTAGTGAAAATGAAGAAGAAGGAAACAAAAATGATTCAGGTTTTTGTGAATCCAAAGACAAGCACCAATGTGTGGCCCCGCTGCTTTTAATCACACACACACAGTAGAACACACTCACTGGCTGAGCTTCATGTCCAGATATGCCACATTTGCTCCCTCCTTCATCTCCTCATAGTTGCTCTCTGACCCCTGGAGGAAAGGAAATCATTTTCATTTGAATCTTATTTAGTTTGTTTTCCTTGCTACAGTGCAGAACAGGAAAAAACCTTCATCTGTAATAAATAAGGTCACATGTTTGCTTATACTGACCCATATAGCGTCTGTGATGCTCTCGTTCAGAACTCTGCGCGCGTCCCAGTTGAGGATCTGGTGCTCCGAGCTGTCGTCGACCTCCCATTTACTCAGACTGGAATCAGTGAGTGTGTACAGGGAGCTGCTTTCCCCCACCCACAGCACACTGCAGAGCTGCAGCAGTAATAGAGTCAGAACTCTGAACACTGAAGATAACTAAACTGACACTGGAGAAGAACTGCCCTCACTATTCAGCCTGATAGACTTGAAACATGAAGGGTGTTTAAGAAATTTGTGAATCGGAATCAAAAGCAGCCACTCATTTCTCTCTGTGGCTAAAATTGATTAAAAAACAAAACAAAACTTGATTAATATAAAACACAAACAAATAACACATGGAGGAAGTAATTAGCAGGTTACAATCAGATTATCTATGAGTGACAGTAAAAATGGGAGGAGTCAAGCTCAGAGCAACACTATTCAAATTTAAACGTCATCAGCAATAGATGAAAAATAATAACACTGTACACCGACTAGTCTTAATTATTAAAAATGCACAAGATAGAAAAGAGTTGTACAGATAGAATAAATGAAAGCCCAAACTCTGCAGTGGACTCACTGCGTCATTGGCTGGTGTCGAGAGGATGCCAAACAGGCTGGAGACACGACGTCCGATGCCAGAGAGCATGCCCTGACCCTGCTGCAGAGCTCGGCACTGCAGTTTCCCGGAGGAATCTGCACTTGCTCTCAACAGCTGATTCTTCACCGAGGACAAGACAAAGCTTCCACCCTGAGAAAGGAGAAAGAAGTGAGAAACAAAGAGGTCAAATTATATGTTGTTGATTTAATCCTGTTCCTTACAAATCTACACAAAATAAAGTGCAATGCCAGCTTTATTACGTGTGTTTAAATGTTTCAAGATATCTCAAGGTATGCAGTGAATAAAACTTGGACAGCAGCATTACTCCTCAGCGATTTCTGGAGTGATACTGTTTGATGTGGTTGTATTTTGGGACCCTTTTCAAAAATATTTGAGTATTTTGGATTTGGCAGAGTCAGTGGTGAGTTTTTTTGTAACAAATTGGTTAGTAAAAACGTCTATTTTCAACTGAAGAAACCTACTTACTCTGACAGCAACAACAAAGTTGCACAGATCTCCCAGGTCCACATCGGTCTCTGTGTAGTTGCCCTCCTGGGAGAGGCTGGGCCAGTAGCGAACCGCTCCTTCTGCAGCCACCGCCAAGACAGAGATGGACTGAACAGCAGCCATCTCCAGGGGAGCAGTGGAAGTCACAGCCACAAGGTCAGCAGTGTAGTTGTACTCACTGCTGGGCAGTTGCAACTCCTTACAAACTGAGACCTGCAGGAAAACACAGTTTAGTTTGTGAATTTAAAGCTGCCAGTTTAGCACATTGGGAACTTTCAGTCTGTTTTGATTCATCATTTACTCCATCTAATATCGGAATAAGAAAGCAGGTTTTGTGAGAGAAAAAAAAGTCCATCTTTCTATCGCTGAAACATTTACCACATGTTACTGTACCCAGCTCTTTAAACAAAACTAAGACACATGAAATAAATGATCAGTGAATAATTATTTGCTTTGTCGATCCTACAGATGAAAAAAGGCCTCACGCCGCTTGCATTATTTTGGAGAACATGTTAAAATAACTCTTTAATGATTTTTAGATTGTAATTTTAGTCTAAATGTAGTTTTAAAGTGAATTTTAAACTCAGGCTGAAAAAAATATATAATTGTCTGCCCTGATCATACCTTAGCTACAGCAGTTTGGCAGATCTTCCAGATGATCAGACTCTCTCCACAAACCATCCAGGCCCAGCCGCTCTCACACACCTTCACTGAGATCTGATCATCAGCTAGAGTAACCAATAAGAAAATGAAAAACAAATGTTTAGTGGAAACTACTAACTCTCCCACAACCAGAAACATAAAGAGAAGAGAGAGCAACTATTCATCTTTCATTCTCAGAAAGAAGACAATGTTTCTCTTACCGTCAGCCATCGTCAGTGCCTCCATAACTTTGACGGGGAGGGATGAGCCAAAGGTCTGCACATCATAGTTAACGGTTTCTGCCCCTGCATGGCTCTGCACTCGGGTAGGTGTTGATCTGGGGAGGACACAAACTCAGAACAATCAGCTGTAGCTACAGTCTGATGGGCCCAGTTAACCCAAGACTGCACTGACGACTCAGCACGAAAGAACAACATCTATAAATCTGTAAAATTGTCTTTATTTGTCATATATATGGAGCCTTCCGATTGAGTAAATCTGATCCGACAACACTCACCTCGCCGACAACGGCGTCCTGCGCGGGGAGAACAGGAGGCCGGGGACCGCACCGGAGACGCTCTTCCTCCCGGCGGTCCTGGCCGGCTGCCTACGGCCGGAACCCGGGGCGGTTCGGGGGCTAAACATGCCTGCGGTGGTACCCCGAACTGTTCAACAGTGATAACTACAACCCTGCCTGAAAAGCGCGCTCACACGATCCACCAAATACAACTCTCCAAACAACGCGCGGTGCAGTCGCTGGATTAAAACGTCATCGTCTCCTCCGCCTATTTTGTAAAACTTTATTTACAACTCGAACACGAGATTTTACAACTGCAACACTTTCACAGAGGAAAGTCTTATTGTGTGGGTAAGTCAGTCAGACTATATTAAAAAAAACACACACTTTTTCATGTAGGCCGCATTCATCCAATTAAAATTAAAATTAAAAATGTAAATTACTCCGTTCTGCTGATTCTACGTTTTTAAGGGGCTTAAAAAGTAAGTTAAGTACGATAAATACTTAACTCACAGTTAATTTAGTGACTTAATAGTGCACTTTCACACAGATTTCTGTACAGCAGGAATTGGCAGAGACAATTCTGCCTCTGAGTCAGTAAATTTAAGCTTACATATAAATTTATAAAATAAAACAAACACAAATTTATGTCATCAAGATGACATCAGATCTTTAGGAGACTCCAAACTATTCAGTGCATCTTATCATAGTAGCTGACTTTTATCAACTACAAAAATTATATTATATCAACCTAATAACTGTGTTCTAAGATTTTTTTTTCTCAGGAAATCTGTTATCTATAGATTTAGCCTTGAGCTTGAAACTAACGGGAGCCAGGCGAAAGCAGTAGATTAACGACACCTAGAATTGCTGATTAAAGATGAGAGCGGCCAGCTAGCTTAGCTGCTTTAGCTAGCATGATTTGATGGAGTCTGACAGGGTTGGATAACCACGATGGAGCGGCAGCGAACGACTTTGATATAGTAGTTATAGCCAGATACAGTGATGCGTTAAAAGCGGTCGGTTTGGACACAGTAACTGAAGGCGGACAGCAACACGTTATGCAGTAAGTAGCAATGTCCAAATAATGATGGTACGGCATTAATCCCGCTAAAAGTTTAGCGGCCAGGCCCACTTCTAGCATTAGGAAGTTAGCCAGTTAGCTTGGTGTAAGCATCCTCCTCTACTATCGAAACTTGACAGCTTTACACTGCATGCCTAGTTCTTTGCTGACTTTCAGGTTAGTTGGCACGTATCTTTATTGTGCTAGCTGGGCCCTTTGTAATGCTTGTAACGTAAACACGCCAGCGTTGCTTTGCTATGTAATTAGCTACTAGGTGATGCTGTGCTCAAGAGGTTTCATTTGACCATGGAGATGATGAATGAGAATTTTTAGTAGTCACAGACATGTATCGTATTTTGTTGTCCGTTGTGAGCACGAAAACAGTTACTATATGCTTCCGACTTGTTGGGTGGATGAGCGAGAGAAGGTGCTGTGAAAAGTGCCAGGTGTCTGACACTGTAGCTTGTGCTCGTAAGGTCATGAAGCGGATTCGCACTGAGCAGATCCAGTATGCCGTGGCTCAGTACCTGAAGAGGAGGCAGTATGTGGACACTGACGGCTCCCTGAAAGGAGCCAAGCTCTACCAGTCCCCCGAAGAAATGGCTGCAAGTCTCACGGGTAAGATGATGATGATGATGATGATGATTCCAGCCTAATTAATAGATCGCACAACCACATAGTTATGAGAAAAGACTGATCACACGAAAACACCACAGGATTGGCTTCACTGCAAAAATTAGCAGTCGGGTAGGTGCAGTGCAACATGGATTTGGTTTTGGGCATTGAACCTTGTAGAGCCTAGAGCAGTGGAGTTTCCATGCTCTCCATGGGCCTGCTTGGGTTTAATTCCACAGTGCAGAGACATGTGTTAGGTAACTGGTGATTGTGAGATTGTGTTTTTTGTCTTGGTTTGTTTGTTTTGTTTTAACCTTTATTAAACTCGTGACCTTTCTAAGGTGTACCATAAGACAGCTGGGATAGGTTCCAGCTCACCCGTGTCCCTAGGATAATTGGTTAAGATAAATAATCTATTTTCCTAATGCAGTCTAATGTATTTGACCCTTTGACTGGCAATATTCTATGTAATTAACAGTTTTCCTGGTTTCTTCTTTATCTTCTTTCTCTATGTCTGAGCAGTGCAGACGGAGTCAGGATGTTCCAATGTCGTTTCTGCTGCGCCATGCCAGTATGACCCACAGCAGTATGAGATTCAGTATTCCAAGCTCCGTGCCTTCCTGTCAGGTATGAGCTCTACATCACTGAGTGGATGAGTCTAGACTTGCACATCTATAATTGTAGTTGTTCCCAAAGTTTATGCCTCGGCTCCACTTCTTTAGGTAGTGGTAAAGCTGCATCCTAAACAGCAGAAAGAGACAAAGGTTGTGGACGACTGAGGCTTCTTTCTGAAAGATGACATATTGCTGCAGTTTTAAATATTTTTATTTTCTCTGACAATTGTGCTTTTGTATTATTGACCATCCAGGGCTGATATTTTTTCATTTTGTCAACATTTCTTAATCTGTTTTTGTGCGAGTCCACATTGTTTTGTCCTGACTGTTAAGAGAGAAACATGGATTACAAACTTTGGGTTTAACATTTGTCTTTCATACATTTATGTTCGTATTTATTTATTTATTCATTTACATTTTTTGAAAGGGCATGAATAACAAAATGGATTATTATTGGCTTGTATACAAACAGCTCCACGTGGATATGGAGAATGAGACGATGGGACTGTGTTACGATATTGTTAACCTTTGTTATTGATTACAAAAGCCTAAAAAATATACTTTTTTCTACTAAATAGAAGCAGACATATCCTGGGCAAAAGAGGTGAGCAGTGTCCTCTATCCGCTCTTCGTCTACCTCCACCTGGACATGGTGCGCTTTGGACTGAAGGGGGCTGTGGATGGTTTTTACAGTCGTTTTCATGGCGCCTTTCTTCAGGACAGTGAGCAGCGTACCATCATAGAGCAGCTCCGCCATGTCCTCAGTGCACAAGACATTGTGACCAACCCCAAGCTGAATGCTTTCTTAGAGCACAAATATGTGGTTCACCTGACGGAGCCAGCCTACAGCTACCTGCTGCGTTACTTGCAGAGTGAGGACAACAGCGCCCTCTGTAGGATCCTCAGTACACACCTGCAGCTGGAGGTCAGTGCCTCGAGGCGGACAGACTACCAGCTCTATGGAGCTGCTGGCGGGTCGACAGCTGCTCCAAACTCCACCTCCTCCTGGGCCGGAGTGGATGGAACAGAGAGTGGTGATGGGGTGGAGGTCCCAGCAGGGATCCCACAGAATGAGGCAGCCCTCGAGGCTCTGCAGGACTGCGTCAAGAAAGTCCGCGAGGGACCACCGTCACTCACCACTGTCTGTTTTTACGCCTTCCACCACACGGAGCAGATGCTGAACACTGCTGAGGTCTCGGCTGACAGTCGGTTGCTGGCCGGTGGATTTGACACCTCCACGGTAAAGCTGTGGAGCCTCCGTGCCAGGAAGCTCAAGGCCAGACCCCATCAGGCTGATGTGTCACACATCCACCTGGCATGTGACGTACTGGAGGAGGAAGTAAGTAGACATTGTTATGAGAAGTCTTCACCTTAATTGTTTCCATATTTGCATTTGTTTCTTTTGTTGTACAAAATCTGAGAATATAATCCTGAGGACAAGACAAAGGTTGTCATGAGAACAGACTCAGTGGTGAAGTCTTGTTTATAGTGGTGATGGACAGGCTATGATGTTTGCAGATGACATTATGATCTGTAGTGAGAGTAGGGTGCAGATGGAAGAGTTGCGAATACAAATGACATGTATGTGAACGAGAGGAAGATGTTGGAAAGTTGCAGGCACAAGGAGTGGACGTTGACATGAGTGCATGAGTTTAAATATCTGAGGGCAACCTTCCAAAGCAACAGACACGAGAGGTGAAGAAAAGAGTGGAGGCAGGGTGGAGCAGGTAGAGAGGTATGTCAAAGGTGTGTAAGGGATGTAGTGATAAGATGTAGTGAGCAGAGCTGAACCAATTGCAATTTGCTCAGTTAAAATGTGTAACCTGCTCTTATTGATTTTCTTTCTATGAACCATAAATTACAGCAGATACAAACAACTTAGTTTGTCTTCAATGCAAATACTTAAAAAATATTATATCAGAAGAAATTATTGCCCCAAATATTATTCTCCAAAGCTGTTAGTTAGAAGATCTTCTTCCACTGAAACATCTGAAGAGCTTTGCTACTGGAAAGAGGTAGAAATGATAAAATGAGTTTTAACTTGCCAAACAAAAGGAGGAGCAACAGCTTTATATAGTTTCTTTTTCAGTAAATTTATAAATTCATTAGACAACAGGGACCTTTTTTTTTCTTTCTTTTTTTAACTGAACTCATAACTGCTTTGAATTTGTTTTGTTTTTTTTCCTTTGCTTGCACATACCAAGGCTGCTAGCTTATGGTGGCCTCTGCGCACGGGGTAGCTTTAACTTTAGCCACTTCAGCTCCTTTTAAAATGTCCACGTTTATCTGGGTGATGATGTCACTGTCTGATTAAGTTTGTTTTTAGAAACATTGTTGTGGTGGGGTGCACTGAAAATCATCCAATTCCGATCTCTAGCAATGAGATGGGTCTCATTTGTAGATGGTGGCTCTGATTTAAAAAGACCTGCAGAGTTAAAGATTAAATTATTTAGCAAATTTAGATTTTTAATGTAAAAATAAATGACGTACATTATTTTTAGATTAAGCTGCAGAGGAACAAAATCAAGTATAATTATGTAATCTTTCATCATTTCTTCCAAGGTGGATGAAGAGGACAGCTCAGGCAGTGAGATAAAGACGCTGCGAGGTCACAGTGGCCCAGTATTTCGTACCGCCTTCCTCACAGACAGCTCCGGCTTGCTCTCGTGCTCTGAGGACACAACCATCCGCTACTGGGACCTGGGCAGCTTCACCAACACGGTGCTCTACCAGGGGCACGTCTACCCAGTATGGGATGTGGACGTCAGCCCCTGCAGCCTTTACTTTGCCAGTTGCTCTCACGATCGCACCGCCCGTCTCTGGACGTTCTCCCGGACATACCCACTGAGGCTCTATGCAGGGCATCTTTCTGATGTCGACTGTGTGAAATTCCACCCGAACTCCAACTATTTAGCCACCGGTTCCACAGACAAGACTGTGCGACTCTGGAGCACCCAGCAGGGGGCGTCTGTTCGCCTTTTCACGGGCCACCGTGGCCCTGTGCT